CGGTAGAAACGATGATAATCAGATGCATTCTGTCACTCTTTATCCTTGTCTCCATTGCAGTCCAAAAGCTTTCGGTGGAACACAACAGTTCAAAGAGTCATTCACTACCCGGCATGATACTACAATATTGACCAAACATTGTTTCACTTAAAGTACACTATCATAAGAACTCAACCCAGTCTTCTTGTTATTCGATTATCCGGGGTAAACAGGTCCTAGTTAATCGCTCCATACTCTCTACTGTTTGTGAAAGCTGGTTACGACTAACGAATTACCGCACGGCTTCAGATTTTACAAACACGATCTTTTCAAGCTGCGATTTATCAGTGACAATGGCAGGATCCATGGGAGACCCGCTAAGGTATTTTCGAGTTAATTGATATGATTTCTGGCTGCTGATCAGGTTGGCTATTTGGTATTTTGAGGTGACCGAAAATTTCCAACGTCAAGCGACCTCCACTGAGATTCTTCGTAATGCGTATTAATGCATAGCTACCTTGTCCACTCTCAGAATTCCCGAGTTTATATCCTGACTAATATCTCTATTTCCTCGGCACTTCAATGAGAAGTATAACACGACTTCATTGGAGACTGGGGGAACTCAGTCTTTCTCACTGAATCAGACGGAACCCGAAGAGACCTGATGGAAACGTCTATGATTGTCAATGGCTTACCCAACCTGAGGTTTGATAATCTATTCTCACTGGTTCCGCAAGTGAGCATGGTTAGACATATTCTAATACACTGCCTTGTGAGTCAGACTTTTGAGTCGAAGACTCCGTTTAGGGTTCCCAAAGAAAAACCCCTTCGTCGGTGTGGGCTGCCGCGAAGTAAGCCGTGCCCTAAAGTCTTAGGCACCCATTTGGAAAACCATCTTTCCCATTTGTCAAGTTCTTCTCAATCCCGAATAATCCCAGATGCCTCCTGTTTACGCCACCCATCCATTAACAAAAGGCGTTTTCCAAGCAAGGCCAGACAATCTGAAGTAGGGGGGATTTTTAAAGCCAAAATTTCCTCTTCACTTAGCTCCGTTCAATGTACGCACACTTTATCTAGTAGTCGCCGCAGACTTCAATGCTCAAGTGGGATCCCTGAACGAATCAGAAAGGCATATTGGCGGACCGCATGCAATCCCAAGCAACCGGACGGACAACGGAGATCGACTACTTTAATTGTGAGCCGACCACGGGTTGTTCCTGTCCAATACAAACTTCTCACACAAGAAACAAGACATGGAAACCGCCAACCTCTTCACTGCGCTGGACCCAGAGCGACCACATCGCCATCAGTTACCGCTGGAATGGATCGATTCAAAACTTTCGCTATTACTGGTCAACAGCTGTGGATACAGACCACACCTTGTTACCAACCAAATTATCCTTACGCCTGGAAAATAACCGCAAAAAAAGCCACCGACAACGGATACCCACGATACAGCGTCCGCGATGGCTGCAAATCAGTTTTGGAAGCGGAGCTCTCCGATCGCCTGTTAGTTCAACCACCAACCGAAGGACTAAATGAACATTTGAACCAAATCAAGGAAGCTATACAAATATCAATAAAAGCAACGTCGGACCCTGGCGCCGGTTCAAAACACAAACGATGGATTTAATCGACCTCGGCTGCCCTGCTGGACGCCCGCAGAACCCTCCCTCCGGATGCCACATATAACACAGCGCGCAAATCCCTCAAACGTCAGCACATCAAGAGTCTGAGGAATAACCGCGAGAAGTGGTGGGTAGGGAAGTGTAAAGACATGGAGAAGGCTGCAGCTTTCGGTAATAGTCGCAATCTTTTCCATTTAATTACGAATACGGGCCCTAGGACAGTAGGCGCAAGTGGGGTTATTACGGAATCTGGTGGCACACTGAATCATGATCAGCTACGTAGTCTTGACCGTAAGCCGAACATTTCAAGGATCAGTTCAACTGGCCCCCATCGACATCTGAACTTTCACCCTCCACCGCGACTGCGCAAAAACTGGCAGTCGACACCAGTCCTCCATCTGAAATGCAGGTCACCAGAGAAATATGTTATCTCAAACAGCATGAGGCTTCGGGCCCCGACGGGCTGTTCCCATCGGTTTTCAAGGATGGAGATTCAGCCTTGGTTTTGGAGTTAACTCTTGGGCTCAGTGTGGGAGAGGGAAGAGGTTTCAGCTGAATGGTGTGAGTCGGTGATCATACCGATTTACAAGAAAGGCAACAGCCTCCTGTGAAAATCATAGAAACATTAGTTTAATCAACATTGCCTCTAAAATTCTCGCTGGCATCATACTCCGACGATTGTCTGCCGCACGCGAACGGTGCACGCGTGAGAACAAGGTTGGTTCTAGACCCGGTCGAGGTTATACCGACCACATTTTCAATTTTTGCCAAATTCTGGAGCACCGGCATTCTTTTCGTAGACCCACCATCTCTGTCTTCCTAGATCTGAAGGCGGTTTTCAACTCAGTCGACCGCTTTGAACTCTGGCGCTGCCTTTCTCTGAAGAGTGTGCCCGAGAAGTTAATTTCAATACTTCAATCGCTTTATGCTAATAACCGAAGTCGAGTCCGAGATTACGGCACTTTTTCTCCCGGGTTTACCACGGAAAGTGGTGTTCGTCAGGGTTGCCCTCTCTCTCTCCTTCTCTATTCAACATTGCTATAGATTTGATTCTGAAAACAGCCCTATCCTCGTGCGGGGATAGCGGCATCGATTTACTCCCAGGTGGCAGACTGTCCTATCTAAAGTGCGCAGACGACATTGTGCTGATAAGCGAAGATCCAGATAAGTTGCAAGTTACAAGTCGTAAAAATCATATTTCGCAGCAAGTAGGCGGGGAAACATTGATGGTGTTCCCTAGTCTGGCTGCAAACGACACTTCCATCTCGGAGAACATATCAACACCAACACACAAAATAATTTACAAGACAACGAAAATCTGTTCTTGACCACCCACATGATCTGCATGAATTGACTGCAGCATAACACTCCCATTTCACTGTTATCATTCAGCGACCAGAAACCAGTTATTACAATGATGGTGCAGACAAAGTATCCTGGCAGATGCTAGAGGGGAAAACAGATGATCTGCGGACACAAGAATCGTGGAAAGAACTTACGGGAAATCCGGTTGTCTAGGTGTCGAAGCAATGAATACGAAGCGCGTTTAGCATTTGCCAAATTCAAATGCATGCAATCGCATACAGTTCCACTTTCCAGAGCACAGTTACCCGACCGTAGTTTGTGCTTGGTCTCCAATTAATAGGAGGAAGTTCTATCTCACGCAGGCCTTTATCACAGGCAACTTCAATTACCCAAACCTGGCTAAATCAGTGATCTCTTTACAACCGCTAGAGAGGAAACTCGTTTAGCGAATCCTATACATTTTACAATTTTGTGAAGGAGCCAACTAGGTTTGAAACCAACCAGTCATCGTCGGTTTTGGACTTGGTGTAGGCTAACGAGGAATTGGTGGGAGGAAACGATTTAAATTGCGATTCCGTTAGGGAGTACTGATCAGGCTGTGTTTCTGTATGGCTACATTTGCTATGCATCCGTACCGCAAATTTCTAAGGTTAACAAGTTTGTTGACTACGGCAAACTTACGATTTTGGAGAGAGAGAGAGAGACTTCCAATGGAATTTTCCCAACGATCATTGTGATCCCTTGGTAACCTAGCAAGAATGTGCGCATCACCTCACGGAAATGGTGAAGGGTGTAACACAAAACATTCGTATTACTTAATCAACTGGCCAGAAATCAGTGGTACGAAGTCTAACAAGGAATGGGATTTCGAAGAGGAATATCTCCTGGAGAGCTCATAAACGAGTTCCTTGTAACAACACCTGTTATACCTATGGTCTGCTTCAAAACCAATGCAACAGTTTGGTGCGAGAAGACAAGTTGATGTACCAAGAAATGCGGATGCACAAGTTTATATCCAATCCAAAGCTGTTGCACAAACACAACTGCCTCCATAAAAGTCAAGTCTGGTGTTCCTCCAGTAAGATTGTCAGCATCTATTTCAGTCCAAACAAACAAGGCAGCT